TATATATATAATATATGATTTATTATTGGGTTAATTGGTTTGAATGTCCGCATGTGAACATTTAATATATAATTGGTTCTGCATTGAGAGGCAAGGGGTTTGTCATAAAGTTGACCGAACAGCACGCAAAATAAATTGAAATCAAAGCATGGAAGCGTATTAGAATGGGATACTCCTCAAAAACTGAGCTGAGCAATAGAAAATAAATTTGTGCTAGCTGGCGACACTTCGCTTCTGGTCCCCATGGCGCTGAATCTTAAACCTATTCTGTATCTGTATCTGCGCCCAGTTTAGTTGTCGAATGTTGGCTGCCGGTCTGCCGGTCTGCCGGTCTGCCGGCTCCAGCAACATTGGCGGCAACCGCGTTGGCGACGGTAACACAGACGGCGACTGGCGGCCGAAGTCAACTAAACAACGCCAGCCATAACAACAGCAACAACAAGAGCGCCGTGTCCGCGACTGCCCGACTCGGAGATACCCTCACTGCTGTCATTCAAAATATTGTGGCTGGCATACACACGATACTTACACCCCTTAAGATATTCCAGGGATCCATTTGACAAATGCGTTATTAATTGACTTACATACAAGATTTCCAACTTTATTGAATGTTAAAAATATGAACATGCCTATGCATTTATATATATGAGCCAAAGCACATATTTAATAGCGAGTGGAAGGAAATATGTATCTCAGTATAGCCCAGGCATATCTATGTTTATAACAAATGTCCATACATTTTCCAATCCACTTCAAGGATACTAAAAGTATCAATCTAATAAGATGTGTATTTAATAATATATATAAGCAACACCTTTCCGAGATTGAGGGGGCCAGACAAACATCCAGGCAGACTTGTTTCTCTCATCCAGAATTTATATGCACTTTGTCCCTGTTGCGTGCATTTTAATAGAAACAATATACCCTGTCATCGGATTTTTAATGGGTTCGGGGCATAATAACAGCAACAATAACACAGTCATAACGACAAACCCCCTAAAGAGAGAAATGCCCGCGTCCATCCTTGGCGTCGCATTGGCAAAGAGCCCTTCCAGCAGCTCCATGTGTCAACTGCTAACCGTGGAGCAGTGCGTGCTAAGATGCTTGACCCGAGCCTCGGACATATTTTAAGCTAATTAGCTGTTGTTGCCTAATACATGTACTAGTATAATTGAAGCGGCCATCTGCTTAAATACGGCTAGTCTCTATGCCTTATGCAGGGATAGTTTGGTCATCATCCTTTGCCTCTTCGTACCACTGTGCTCGACAATTCGGTGAGACGCGACAAAGAAGAATGTCGCCGCGTCAGGGACTTAATCATGCCACAAATAGTCGCCTTACTTTTGGAAACATTTCAAAACAATAACCGATCACAAAATCACACTTAGCAAATCGAACAAATTATTTGTACGTAATGTAATAGCCGTAATGTAAGAGCCGTCGTGAAAGTGCGTCTCGCCTCGTTAGCCTTAAGCTCATTAATTTAATCTACTTTTATAATGATGGCCTAGTATTGTAGGGCTGATTATGCTGGAATCTCATAAAAATGACAAGGCTAAAAACATATGTAATTTTCCAATGTATTCACAAAGTAAAAGGAGTAAGGAAATGATTCGTCTGAATGTGACCTGACCTATTAAGCTTTTGAGATTGTAAATTCATCTGAAATAGCATTTTGATGAGTGATATGATTATCGCAAATTTCCAAAATCAATCCACAATTTGCAATGATTCGAATTTGGAGTCCTGCTAACGGTTTATGGTTTATAAGACGCCAGAGTGCGTAACAAGTGTCGACAGCTTCGGAAGTTGTTTCAAAGCTCGGAATCGACGACGTCGCCGCGACGACGCTGACTGCGGACCGCTGCGAAAGCGTCAGCGCTAGCGCCAGCGACGACCATAGCGACGACAACTTGTCGGCATATTCTTTTTTCTCAATGAAGTGAGCCACACACGCACACACATATACCCACACACACACACAGAATCATAACGATACACAGACACACTCAGACTGAGCATACAGCAGCCACAGCTAGATACGGCTAGCACTTGTGGCGACGATTCACCCCGTCCCACTGTACGGCTGGCGCGACAGTGGGTGCCAGTGACTAGTGCGACCTAGAGCTTGGCCAAGTATCCAGAGACATACACTGTGTATGTGTGTGCGCACTTATAAGGACGAGCAGGGCAAAACAGACACGGATGCTCATATGCACAACTTTGATTTCCAAGCAGCAACTGGCGGCAGGGCGCGCGCGAATTGGGCGCCATTATTGCCACCATTGTCGCGACAAATGCCGCTGTTATCTCCAATTAGAGGCGAAAATAGTTGCGGCGTCGATGATGACGAGTTGAGTTCAATTTTTGGGGTGATGAAGGTGGAGAAGACTTGATACTCTTCGAATGATGCGACGCCTAACAAAGCAGATTAACAGTAGATAGCTGCTGTCTAACAGTAGGGGGATTAGCACAATGACTTTTTTACAGTTAAAAACGTTGCAGTCGGTCCAAAGAAAACGTCTCATTAATTACAGAATTATGGCACTTAACAAATCTGTTTTGGCATGCGTAATTCACATGCTATTAACAAAAATCACAAAATCACAAATTGTTAACCAAAAAATACGTTGATACCCACTAAATACTTTTCGGATTTCATAGCAAATTTCATTTAATTTTGTACAGTTCTTCTTTAAAATTCAGAGCAATGTTGAAATATAGAATAACAAACGTATTCATTGTGTATTTGTAAAGACAATTTATAAAATTTTCTCAATGCTCGTTGTGCCATCAAAATAGTAATGAAATTATTTATTAGAAATATTTATTTATTGAATGTGACAAATGATAAGATTTTTGTTTTCTTAATAATATTTCACGCCAAGTACATTATTTGCTTTGATCTGTTTTTATAAAGATTAAAAAATGTATTCCTTAAACATCATGGTGCTATAAATACATCAGTATACGCAAACATGCATCATACCTATTGTATCATATGTAATATATCATCCACTTAATCTGTAATTTAATTGTGAAAAGCCGACCTATAAGGGTTTCTTTCTTTCTTTCTTCTAAAAACATATCGAGTTATAAAAATGAATAAAGAAGCACGTAATTAAAGTAGATGAAACTTAAAGTATGACACGAAAAACACATACAAATCGATACTCGTGTTGTGTAAATTATTGAAATAGATTCAAATATAAATCATATAAAAAGATTTGTCAGTTAAGAGAATGACGGAGGTTGAAAACAAATTTAGTCCGTGTTTTTTTTGTTGCTTTTCTTTTTGTATATATTTCTAAAAAAACAGAAATGAGCAATTATATGCTGTTACAATTCTGCTTACATTTTAGGCTCTTTTAAATACACAAAATGTATCACAATTTTGAATATTTGTTGTAATAGAAACTTTTATGTATATATTATATATATATAAAATTGTATGCATGTGAGACAACGTTGCATTGTGTTTAAAGGGGTTTTTTACCTTAATTTAATTCATAAAAAAAATAAAATAAAAAACAAAAAAATACATCTTCCAATGCAATTCAAGTCTGATTATTTACAAAGTACCAAAATTAGATAAAAAGTTACTAATAAAAATTTGACATAAATAATGAAAGAGTGGAACAAATTAAAATGAATTCATTAAATTGTCAAAAGTACAATAAGTATATTTATATATATATTTTAAATTTGAAATAGTTTAATTATAGGCAATTTTGAATTACTCACAAATGTAACCTATGCAAATCAGCCAAGTAAACAATTTAACAGGTCTCAATAAAATATAGATGTCGACAATCATTCACTATTAAATACAGAATGGCATATATACAATGAGCAAAATCTTTAATGCCATAACAAAGTATTTGGATTCTTGAAGTGAACAAATACGTTTGATGAAAAGAACGTAAATTGTGTTTGTTGTTGTTTTTGCAGTTGCTTACATGGTTAACTAATTTTTACGAGTACTTTTATATTTTGTTTCGCGTTTCATTATATATATGAGCTCTGCTGGTGATATATGTACATGTATGTGTGTGTGTGAATGAATTTCTTTTACAAATTGTGCGCGTTTCTCATAATGTATGTGTAAAATCAAACAATACAGCACAATGCATTTTTTAAACATATATATTAACTGCTGAATAAGACATTAATGTCAGACCTCATACATGGGAGTTTTTTTTATTTTCTATTATGACTTTCTCATCCCAAAATTAGTTTTAAAAAAAAGGAATAATGCCTGCGTTTAATTAATTTGATGTTTAGCTTGCGTAATTAAAGCTAGAAGCGCATCTAGTTTCAAGTCTTTGAAACGCGCAAAGTGATTCATCATTGGTTGAATCGCATCTGACTCAATAGCCGCTGAGATGGTTTGATTCTGAATGGTGCGATTAAGACAGGATGCAACCTGCGCAAGAAACTCACGCCACTTTTGTCGGCTCTCCTCGGTAAGCGTTGAGTCGGTGTTTGAAACGTAGATCGCCTCTACGCGTAGTATCAATCCGACAAGCGACAGAATGCCAAACTAAAAGAATGATGAAATATGTAGCAATCATTGAGCATGGCTGCATGACAGTAAACAGTAAACATACAAAGCATTGCATAAACTTACGCGACTACAGAAAATGCCCGACATCTTTTTATCGGTCATGGTAAACGCAGTTGAAATGTTGATAATTGTTTCTAAATTCGCTTCATGTATTTGATTTTTGAATTCCGGATAAAGCGCAAAGAGACAACCGTCTACATCTTCTCGATCTTTCTTAACGACATTTTGCAGTGAACAGAACACTCCGCTCCACACTGTCCAACGTATCGGCTGATCAGCAATAAATGGCATTATGCGGCGTAATAGTATCTGAAGAGTGCAGAAATTCAAGCTATAAGAATGTGCGACACATAAATATAAACATGCATATCAAATACCTTGCCCTTGCGCACGTTCATCATCGATACAACCTTATTGAAAGTGAGGCCGGCTTTCAGCTTACTCACTAAAACATCGCGCGGCTCAATTTCATAGTTGAATTTGTTCTTAAGCGCTGGATTCATGCTTTGTGGATTATTCGCCTCAGCCGCTCGCTCTTCGGGCGTTTTATTCGCCATCTCGAGTTGCTCCACGGCGGCAATGCGTTCGCTCTCCTTCTTCTTCTTCAATATAATGGTTGCCATTACCTCCGGACTCTCTAGGTCCTCCAACTTCAGCAGATACCTATATAGGGTCTCTATGTGCAGCAAAATATGTCGCGACTTCCGCATGCTGCTCGGCACAAGCACCACCTCGGGTTGGCCCTCATTGTTTTTATCGGAGCTCTGCCTAGTAGCTGACGATGCTGACCCAGTATTGTCCGTGGTTGCGCTGTCGCTGCCCATGATCTCAGCATCAATTATCTTGCGGGGCGCCGTCACACTTCCGTACTGCAACTTGCCCAGAGAGTTTTCAAACTTCAGGGGAGAGAACACATATCCAGAGAGAATGTTGCTGTTGTTGCCACTGTTTGTGATTCCGCTGGTGTTGCTGCTGCTCGTGTTGTCCGAGTTGCGTCTTTCGCGATGCTGCTGCCCGTTGCGAGAGCCATTTTTGTTGCCCAACTGAACCAGAATGAGCTGCGCATGACCTCGCGGCTGCGTCAGTGGATGATTCAGCTGGTTGTCCTTGTGTGCCTGACTGTGACGAACCTGTCCGTTCTTGCGCTCCCTGTACACCGTGTAATAGTAGTCGTCAATGTACGGAGTGTCCGTGTTCAACTGTGACAGCTGGATGCCAATCAGCCAATGCTTGTCTCGCGTACTCATCAGATTGGCATATTCGTCGAACTCCTCCTGAGGCAGGTTGCCGCCGTAACGGTTCATTTGCTGCTGCTGCTGTTGTTGCTGCTGCTGCATCTGCTGCGGAAGCAGCTGCTGCTGCTTTTGGCGATCGCCGGGTCGACTGAGCTGCTGCTGGCGAACAGCTGCCGCGTTCTGCAGCAGCGGATGGTTCTGCTGAATTTCCTGAACCAGTCGCATGTTAAACATGTTATACATCGAGTTGGGTTGCTGATTAAGCAAATTGTGTGGCGGCAGGCGGGGCGGCAACACAGGCATGTAGGCCGCTGAATGCAAGCCAACGGCGCGCATCGCATTGAAGCTGGGATGCATGGCAAAGTTGTTGAGCGCCGTGGGCAGATGTGGATTTGGCAGTGGACGAGGAAAATTGGGCGGCAAAACATGCTGCTGCAATAGGGGATGCTGCGGCAGGTTCGTAGCTAGGCCAGTTGGATACATAAATCCTGGCGGCGCACGATTCCCACTAATTCCATTTAGCTGTTGATGCTGTGGCTGCGGCGTGGGCATTAGACCCGGCCCTGCGCTGGATCCGCCCATGTGATGTGGACCATGAAAACCTATATTTGGCCTTGGCGGCGGCGTTTGAGACGTGGCTAAAAATCCAGGAGGTGCTGAAATAGCAAATAGATATTTTTTAATTTCAATTCAGATTCAATTTGGCTTTTAACTGATTAATAAAGTTATTGTAATTGGAAAATATTGATATAATACACATTTGCTAGTTTATATATTGATATAATATACATTTACTAGTTTATAGCCTAGAACTGTTTTGATAATGATAAAAATTGCACTTTTACACTAATATGAAATCCAAACTTCGACAATACATTATGTTATTAATAAAATATGTGAATATAAAACAGGAAATATAATACAAAATAATTAAATATTGCCGAAGTTTACACTCACTGCGTATATAAATACATTTGTACACATACATACATATAATTTATATTAGTTCTCTAAGTGCAATTTTTCCTCTTCATCTAAACAATATGTGCATGCATGATTGCATGATTTATTTATGAAATGTGATTTACCCTTGTGCTGCGGCGGTTGCTTTTGTAGCTGTTGTTGGTGTTGGGCTAACGTTGCCGTTGACACCAAGTGCTGCCGATTGATTAAATTCAAATCCTGTTGGGGCAGAGGCTGTGAATGCTGCTGATGTAGTTGTTGCTGTTGTTGTTGTTTGGGCACTGCCTGTTGTATGATCAGATTACGTTCAATGTCTTCGAGTGTTGTGATTTTGGCTGTCGCCGCTGTTGGCATTGGCGGTATCCCAAAATTGGCGTTCGCCTCCTGCAGTGGCTTTATTTGCGTGATTGCCATTACGGCTGCGGATGCGTCTGCCTGCGGCTGGGGCTTAAATGCGCTGCGAAAGTTGTCTCGAAAAAGATTTTGATTGCTGGGCAAGGGGAAGGAGGGTTGGGTAGTCCAAACGCCAGAGTCCAAGTTAATGCGATTGCTTCCATCGCTTTCACCGAACGTACTTAAATCTACATCGTCTAATTTTATTGATGATAAATTTAATTCCAAGTCTAAGTCGTCGATGCTACCGCTCTGAAACCCACGCAACGGCAATTGCTGTTGCCGATTAAGCAAAGCACCGTTACCGCTAGAGTCATGATCTGTAAAGTCTTTGCGAGCTTTTTCGCCGTTGCCGCCAAGTAGCACAAGCGTTTCGTGGGCTTCCTCCCAGTCGCCGTTTATGGCAGAGCCGAACGTCTCGTCGTTGAGGGCGTCGTACTCTTCTTCCGGGGGCTCAGCGATTCGCCCGTCGCTGCCATCATCATCCTATACAATAAAATATATTTATTGTTGTTAGCACATTTTAATTTATTTAGGCGAAAAAAGCATGGTGGCAAATTAGGTGCATTTTTTTCTTTTTCCAGACGATTGCATTTGTAAGAAAAATGAGCCTGCGCTTTATATCTGTTTTCTAGGTACTTCATTGTACATTGTTCTTCTTTAAATTCTCACCGGTATACTTGTAGTTGTATCAAAACCGAAAAACGAATCGTCCATTGCGAATAACTATTTGTTTTATAAAAAATTATCATGACTTGTCAGTCACCATGAATGGCTAAGTTGGGAAGAAGAAGTTCAATAGAGTCCACATCATCCACAGGCCACATCTACATTAAATACCGATGTTCAAACTATCGATAACACACATCGATAAGAATGTTCAAAATGTTTCCGCATTGTTAAGTCAATGATGATAAACTGAGTTTGCAAATGATTGTAATTTTGATGTTAGGGAAGTCAAATGAAAATTCTTTACAAGTATTTAATAATTCGGACGATACAATCATCCATGTATTAGATTTTATATATCTTACAAATTTACATCATTTGTTAAAAAAAAAATGAATCCGTGAACAATTTGCGAAAAACACAAATAAATTGATGGGTATTAAATTTAGTGAATAATTACAATTTTATCAATTAGAAACTAATTATTTAAAGGCGTATAATAAAATTCACATTTACTCTTATCTAACTATATATATCCTAATCAAATTAGTTAAGTAGTAATTTGTATAATACTTATTATTTAAGTGACAATTTGCGTTGCTCGATTTCAAGGAGTTTCTTTTTCAATTCTATTTTTTCCGTCATTAATTGCTCCATGACTGAGTGGTGCCTCTTATTTTCAATTAGTTTCTGTTTATAAAGATTGCAAAATTCATTTAGCGCAATTTGCGTGTTACAAGCAACATCATTAATTACACTTATTCTTTTACTTATTGCCTCCAGTTCCTTTTTAATTGCCTGACTTCCATATTTGGTGCTCTTGCCACTCTGCAAGAAGAGCGGATCAATGTCGATATCAATTTCAGCCTTTGTGTCTTCAGGCTCATAGGCAAGTCCAGACACATCTTGCAGTGCACTATGGTCCTCTTCTTCGGGCACAACATCTTCCACATCTTCCATTTCGAATGTCGCATTCGAATTATCCTGCAAATCGTCCTCAGACGCATTCATTATTATTTGACTGACATCGTCGTTCAAGCGACATAAGCTGGCTATAGTTTCCTCAGCAGAGCTCAGACCAGTGGCTAGGGGTATATTATGCATTTCGTTTTTCTCCACTTTCTTGATTATGAATCTCTTCCAGTCCTTCAATGCCTGTCAATAACCAAGAATATATAACAATTAGAGGACAATGCGCGTATTGATAGAGCGGGAACCTCACCTTTTTCCACGTAGCGGCGTCTTTTTGCGGCGGCCCACTAGCATTCAGCTCGGACGTGAGTTGTTCCCACAGCGATTCATATGAGTTACGTGTCTCCCAAGATGGATTTTGCAGCAACACGGGGTTTTTCTTTATAAATTTCAGTATTATTAGCTCCTGTGTCGGATTCCGAGGCTTACCTCGGTGGCGGTCATTGGACCGAGGCAAGATTTTATACTTTCGATTCTGTGGAGAACCAGTAACGTTTGCATTGGGATGCATTCTATTCATGTGTTTGCTTAAGTTTGTTGTTGTAGTTTTGTACGATAGCTTGGCTTTGCATATGTTACATAAGGCGAAGGTGTCATCAACTGCCCTAAAAAAGCACCATATTTCACTTGTTTTCCTCTTCATATTGTTATTGTTTAATGCAATTTACTGTCTTCCACAATTTTTTTTTTTTATTAATCGCGACAGTGCTGGTAAGGACCTGATATAGTGTTGCAATACAGCCAAAGAAAATATATGGGGTATTCTGAAAAAATTTGATGTTAAATTGAGCCTCTACTGTACTGCAATGCAGAATGCATGAGTTAAATAAACGAAACGTATAGATTTAGGCATTTATTTATTTCGCTTGATTTGGTCACACTACTACTACTTCGCGTTTTTTTTCAAAGGTAAAAAATTACGTAGATTGAATGCAAAGCTAAGGACAGGGGTGGTTCGAAAAATGCTATCTCTAATCGACTGCTCGACTACGAGATCTCGTGAAACTTATGAGCAACTAATGTTCCAATAATTCCAGCATGAGACCGCAATCAGTGTTGTGAGTGTTAGCCTATTTCAGGCTAGATCTAGCCTATTGAAAATGAGACTGGGACGGAATAGCCAGATATTAGGGAAGACTATGCTATCCTTGTCCATAAGAGAACTGTAAAGTAGAAGAAACTTTTGTCTATCTCATCTAATAAATATGAATATTAATGTACATAATCTATTTAGTATATCAACATTTAGCCTCAAGGGCAGCAGATGTATCAGTTCTTTAGTCGTCCAGACCCTGTGCGGATCAGCCGTGCAGTGCAGTGAAGTGTTTTATTTTTTTATTTTTGGGTGTTTTTCTTTATTTTACTTTTTTATTTTCATTAATTTTTTCTTGTTCGCTGCAGTGCAGTAAAGTGAAATGTGGAATCGTAGAGGAAATACTTGATAGAAATCCGTAGAGGTACTAGGTAGAGACAATATGTAGAGGCAATGTCTAGAGGAAATATGTAGTGGCAATTTTTAGAGGCAATATGTAGGGGAATAAGTAATTTATAGAGCCAATACTTGAAAGAAAGGGAAATTCAATTCTATACTTAAAATTTGGTAACTCTGGATTTAAAGATTAAGAGATATAATTTTATAACTGATTTTCGGTAAGATTTTTAAAATACAGTAAAAACGGGAGTAGTATTAATTTCGGGAAACTAACTCAATCTGCGCTGGAATATACATACATACTTTAAAATATTCTCTAGCTCTTCTGGATTCTGAGCGCCGGAAAGACAGACAGGGTTTAGCCGTCTTAGCTGACGAGCTGTGAACGACGGCTCTGATCAGGAATATTTGTACTTTATGGAGTCTGCCCCGCATCCTTCTGCTGTTATATATATTAACAGAACAACTATACGCTCATATCATATTTTCATTGGGCTAAGGGTATAATAAACAAAAATCTAAGGAAAACAAATTTGTTAATTAAATATTCGTATTGAATATTATCACTAATTTATGAATATTAAATTCTTCTTCTGAAATTATTACGCTTTACATTTTTATTTTAGCTTAAAATTAAAATTTGAAATTTTTAAGTGCGTATGTGTGCGCGTGAATGTGTGTGTATGTGTGTACATATTTAATGTTTGTCGTGTTGGTTCAGGGTATCTCTTAGTTTATCATTCCCTAGAGCACTCTTGTTTCTTTCTCTCAGTTTAGTTATTGTCTTAAAATTATATTTGCGATTTATCAAAATTTATTTCGACTTGAGCCCCGCTGATAATCAAACTTTCAATGGGTTCTGAATATCGTATATTATGTGTATGTGTGAATTTGTGAATTAATGTAAATAAAAGTTGGCAAATCTTGAGGCACATACATACATATATATGTACGTATTTTATACATGATGTACATACATATACATTATTATAGTGTTATGGAATATTAATACTTCTTTGCTGACATTACAGAGCGTAAGCGACACGAAATGAATGGTTGCTGAGCTTCCAAGTACTTATTATCTTTAAATCTGAAAGCTAAGCATTTTCTTAATCTTTGGCATCAAACTAAGAATTTGGCACGTGCGTGTTATGCTGCGCTATGCGGAAGATAATATTCTATCAAATCACGACTGTCACGGCTCAATGATCGTGCGAAAAGAAAGAAAATCTTGATCGCTAGCGGGCGTATATATGCGGTGTCAGTGATGAAAGTGCATCAGAGTTAGCTCACTTCGATAACAATGAGGGTAATTACTACGGTCGCCGGGTTACTTTTGCTGGTGATCAGCCCGTCAATGGCGAAGGATCAACCGGCTGGTTGCCCATTTCATCCCTTGGAATCGTTGGACCTGGGTTCTTCGAAGGCAGAGCTGGAAAAAGCAGGCAGACCTAAGCGAAACAGCGGGTTGTATGATGGCTTGGACGAGCTGCTGAAGAGCGTTTTGCCCAAGAACAGCATCAGTCCAGGGCTCAGCAGTTGGATAAGCTCGGCCGAACATGATAAGCCAGTCCAGCAGCCCATCAAATGCGGCGTTCCACCCCTGAACTGTTTGAATGATACCAAGAACCTGCACTATCGCAGCATTGACGGCTCGTGCAATAACTTGCTGTATCCCGAGTTCGGCATCGCCACCTCCCGGTATAAGCGTCTTCTGCGGCCTGCGTACGTGCAGAATGGGCAGACGGTGCCCAACGCCCGCCTGCTCTCGCTGTCACTGTACGGCGAGAAGACAGTGATGGACAAGTTTCGCACGGTGGCTTCCATGCAGTTCGGCCAGTTCGTCGCCCACGACATCAGCCAGTTGACCACGAGGGGCGCGCCCAGAGACTGTTGCGCTGAGTCACGCCATCCGCAGTGTCAGCCCATAACACTAGCGGCGGGTGGACCCATCGCCTACAATACGGGCAAGTCATGTCTCAGCTTTGCACGCGCCCTATCCGACGCGGACGGCATCTGTCCCAAGAGTGGGCTGCCCTACAGCGAAAAGCTGTCTGTGGTCACAGCCTACTTGGATCTGTCATCGATCTACGGCAATTCACCGGCGCAAAATCAACGGGTGCGCCGCTTCAAGGGCGGTCAGCTCCGGACAGTGTACGCCAACGGGCAGCAGTGGTTGCCCGTGACGCAGAACCATGAGGGTGAATGTGGCATTAATAGTGAGTGCTACACCATGCCCGACTTACGCAATCGATTCACGCCGACGATTGCCGTACTTCACACGATTATGGTGCGGGAGCACAACCGACTGGCGGAGCAGTTGGCCCTGCTGAATCCCCACTACAACGATGAGCGCTTGTACCAGGAAGCCCGCAAGATCAATATTGCGCAGTATCAGAAGATCACATACTACGACTACCTGGTGGCTGTTCTGGGCAGCGCTTACACGAATATGAATGGCCTGACTTACCCCCACTCAGAGTACTCAACTGACTATGTGAACGACTATGACGAGAGCGTTAACCCCAATCCCTACGCTGAGTTTTCTGCTGCTGCCTTCCGTTATTCGCACACTCAGATATCCGGCTGGTTCTCGTAAGTGATAATATTTTGTGTATTTACGTGGCACTGATTGACTTTCCACTCAATTGCAGAATGGTTTCGTCTGATCGCTATGCAAATCAGACTCTACGCCTCAGCGACTTCTTTGAGACTCCTGAGACTATCCGTTTGCTGTCCTCGAACTACAATTTCGCTGATTTGGTTCGCGGAATGGCTACGCAACTGCAGAAGCGAGCCGACTCCAATATCGATCGCGAGATCAAGCACTTCTTTAATCGCAAAGTGTTCGAGGAGTTCGGATCCGACCTCAAGTCGTTGGATATTCAACGTGCCCGCGATTTCGGACTTCCATCCTACAATGACCTTCGTGAGTTCTGTGGTCTGCGGCGAGCCCATGAATGGTCGGAATTCGCCACCGAAATACCCAGAGAGGTTGGGCACATTGCACCCAATATAATTTAATGTCATCCAAAGCCTAACCATTTTTTTGCAGAAAATTAACTTGTTACGTAAGCTGTATGCCTCCCCAGCCGATGTCGAGCTGAGTGTGGGTGGTACTCTCGAGTTCCACGTACCAGGCTCAGTGTTTGGCCCCACATTGCTGTGTGTGGTCGGAAAACAGTTCCAAAACACTCGTCGAGGAGATCGCTTCTTCTTTGAACGCGAAAATCATCTCAGTGGCTTCTCGCGCAGTGAGTGTAAACATAAGTGCAATAATCGGACTCTCCCTTAATACTATTCCATGTTTGCATAGGTCAACTGGCGGAGATACGGAAAATAAGTTTGGCTTCACTGTTCTGCAACAATGTGCAAAGCTTACATTATATCCAGCCGAATGTTTTCATTTTCCCCAATACTCGGTAAGTCACAATCTGCTCATGCCTATTGAATACGAAAATAAAACTCATTTCTTGTGCATTTTCAGCAATATTTTGATAAGCTGCAATGATATTCCTCAACTTGATCTTACTAAATGGCAAGACCTAACTCCCCAACTGGTCAACTAAACTGGGTAGCCAATTTAGTGGGAAGTCTTTAAATATTACTTTGTTGAATAACCAGCTGATAGATAATCAAATTCCAGCTTCATAATAAATGTTCTTTTTTTTTTTTTTTTTTTAATAAAAGTTAAAATTCCTTAGCCTTGCCCGTAATTATAGCTAATCATTGTAATATGTTTTCGATGTGAGGTGAAATGAACACAGAATTTAGGCAGAGATAAGAGCGGTAATGCTGTTATAAGTACTGTGATTCCTGTTTTTCTGAAAAGATTGACAGATATGTATGTCGAGGTTGCTCAACTGGGAGATCCCTTGAATTCTGCAAAGACCTGATATAAAGCGGGCGTGTTATCCAAAATCTATAAATTACAAAATTGAGTACTATTTACATAGACCTACACAGTAAATTTGAATTCTTCTGAATGTCGACTCAGCTTTTCACCCTGATCAAGAATATACATATATACTTTATAGGGTCTGATGCATATATTTTCATAAATTTAATATACCCAGACAAAAATAATTACTTTGTAGATATTGATGGTGGCTTTCTTTCGAATTATTTATTATACACCACATAAGTGATCAATAAACCTCAATATTTCTTATCGATTTAGCGGAGCAATCTGCGATTCTAAATGAGCCATTTAGCTAAAATATTTCCAGAAAACATATTTGTTTACAGACTAGATGCTAATTCATGCTAATAGCAAATGGATGAGTCTAAAATGAGGAAAGTTGACATTAGGCATTTTATGCCAAACAATTGACCTAGTTTAATTGATTTTAGAGATAATGTTGAAGAGTATAATAGCTTAACCGATTAATACCAGAGAGTCATAACAATATGCGTGGACTAAAAAAGAGCTGATATGCATTAGAATATTGCGCAATAGGAACACAAAGACCGAAGAACTATTAACTTTCGCTCTGACCTTGCTGCTTCTTTAGCATTTGAATTCCACTGATATGCACGGATGTGGACCAACCATATGCCGACGCGCGCCAAGTTTTGTAAAATTCTTTGTAGTTTTTACGGTAGTCGTAATGGCGCGACGAAAGAAAAATATCGAACATGACAGGTGCTGGCCATAGAAAGTCAATGAGATTTATATTCGAGCCATTATTAATTTCATCAAAATATAGAGAATAAAGAAACCCAAATAATAGACAGATTTCTCAGTAGATGTGATTAATAACGGTCCCATGGAATCTGGATGATTGAAAGTAAGATTTTAGCATTTGTATATTGTATGTGTTTGCACACATTCTTTGGATCAATATAAAAGTATTCGATTCATCGGCCAAAGACAGCATTTGTTTATTCGCCATGACGGTGATCACATTAATCTATTTCTGCTGTGGTAAGCAACAGCGAACAGGAATCGATTACGACGATTAAGAAAAATTAATAGAGTCAACTCTTGTTTTAGGGATATTCGTTGCCAACATTGTCGGCACGGTATCTACAAACAATACTGAGCAAGAAACGGGACGATTCGTTGCCACTATTCAGTCTCCGGTTCCAGCGCCACCCTCACAACCAAATGTAGTGTACAAACTATCTTCACCGCACTATCCGCATCCGCCACATCAATGTTTTTGTCCGCCGGGACCTCCAGGACCACCGGGTGTGCCGGGACCTCCAGGTCCTTCAGGTGAGCTTTGCTTTTAAAGTGATTTAATTTGCGTTATTCTATTCTACCTTTATGCAGGCTCGCCGGGAAGACCAGGTTACCCCGGTATAAAGGGAGACAAAGGATCGAAGGGAGATAAAGGTCACTTTGGGTTGCCAGGCCATCGCGGTCCAGTTGGGCCACCAGGTCATCCTGGTGACAAGCACTGGCCTGCACCTCCCCCTCTGTATCCTCATCAACCTCCTATAATAATACCCATTCCTATTCCACCGCCAAACAAGGGAAAGCATAAAGATCATGGCCATAAAGTAGTTCCCGGAATTCCTGGATTTCCAGGCCTTCCGGGGCAACCCGGGTATCCTGGCTATCCAGGTTACCCAGCTCACTCTAGCCCAGGTCATCATCATCCTGGGCGTCCAGGACATCCAGGACATCCAGGACATCCAGGTTATCCAGGACATCCAGGTAATACAGGACATTCCGGACATCCAGGACATCCAGGACATCCAGGATATCCAGGTCATCCAGGACATCATCATCCTGACCATCATCATCCTGGGCATCATCATCCTGGGCATCATCATCCTGGGCATCATCATCCTGACCATCATCATCCTGGGCATCATCATCCTGGGCATCATCATCCTGGGCATCATCATCCTGACCATCATCATCCTGGGCATCATCATCCTGGGCATCATCATCCTGGNCAGTCTCCGGTTCCAGCGCCACCCTCACAACCAAATGTAGTGTACAAACTATCTTCACCGCACTATCCGCATCCGCCACATCAATGTTTTTGTCCGCCGGGACCTCCAGGACCACCGGGTGTGCCGGGACCTCCAGGTCCTTCAGGTGAGCTTTGCTTTTAAAGTGATTTAATTTGCGTTATTCTATTCTACCTTTATGCAGGCTCGCCGGGAAGACCAGGTTACCCCGGTATAAAGGGAGACAAAGGATCGAAGGGAGATAAAGGTCACTTTGGGTTGCCAGGCCATCGCGGTCCAGTTGGGCCACCAGGTCATCCTGGTGACAAGCACTGGCCTGCACCTCCCCCTCTGTATCCTCATCAACCTCCTATAATAATACCCATTCCTATTCCACCGCCAAACAAGGGAAAGCATAAAGATCATGGCCATAAAGTAGTTCCCGGAATTCCTGGATTTCCAGGCCTTCCGGGGCAACCCGGGTATCCTGGCTATCCAGGTTACCCAGCTCACTCTAGCCCAGGTCATCATCATCCTGGGCGTCCAGGACATCCAGGACATCCAGGACATCCAGGTTATCCAGGACATCCAGGTAATACAGGACATTCCGGACATCCAGGACATCCAGGACATCCAGGATATCCAGGTCATCCAGGACATCATCATCCTGACCATCATCATCCTGGGCATCATCATCCTGGGCATCATCATCCAGGACATCATCATCCTGACCATCATCATCCTGGCCATCATCATCCTGACCATCATCATCCTGGGCATCATCATCCTGACCATCATCATCCTGGGCATCATCATCCTGGCCATCATCATCCTGGGCATCATCATCCTGGCCATCATCATCCAGGGCACCACCGGGGACCCCTACAAGATCAACCCACAGACGATTCTATGGATAATGTATTGGATACACTTGAAAGTCTAGCCGATGACCATACTGATCAAAACGATATCAACGATATCAATGATATCACCGATATCAACGATACCAATAATATCAACGATATCAACGATATCAACGATATCAATGATATCAACGATATCAACGATATCAACGAATCACTCGTGTATGTAACACAAACTTTGTTTGACGAAGGTGAATCCAGCAATTATCAGAATAGTACACCGGTGAGCACTGAAGACAGTTCTGAAGCCACCAAGCCCAACACAAATGAACAGAGTATTGAAGACCAGCAACCGGTAATCAATAGCCAGTCCTTGGAGAATAACGATGTTGAGGAACGCAGTTCGAAAGGTCCACTTATTTTATCTATTTCCACTCCTCGAAATCCACTCCAAATGTATGCATACGATAAAAGTAAATAAAAACAATTAAGAAGACTCTAGTCGAGACTGTTCGACTAGGAGATACCCTGAACCCTCTAATCTG